GTCAAATAAATAAATAAAATCTTAAAGAAGAAGAAGAAGAAGAAGAAGAAGAAGAAGAAGAAGAAGAAGAAGAAGAAGTGGTATATATACACAATGAAATATTATTCAGCCATAAAAAGGAATGGAATCTTGCCATTTGCAATGTCATGGATGGATCTAGAGGGTATGAGGCTAAGCGAAATTAGCCAGAAAAACATAAATACCATATGATTTCACTCATATGTGAAATTTAAGAAACAAAACAAATGAACGAAATAAAATGGACAAACTGAAAAACACACTCTTAACTACAGAGAACAAACTGGTGGTTACCAGAGGGGAGTTGGGCTGGGGGATGAGTGAACTAGGTGAAGGGGATTAAGGATATACTTATCATAATGAGCACTGAATAATGTATATAACTGTTGAATCACTACATTATATACCTGAAACTAGTATAAAACTGTATGTTAACTATATTGGGATTAAAAGACTAATTTCACAAATCCCTAATGTCCTTCATTAAAAAAGATACTATGAGGATAACAAACATCAAACAAGTAGAGATTATGTGGCAAGGTAAGAAAATGATAAAATCCTTCTGTAGTGAGATTTATGGTGGCTCAAAGGATAAAAAGTTTTATTATTCTAAGCCTGTTCCATATCATATGATAGCTACTAGACACATGTGGCTATTGTTCACTTGAAATGTAGCTAGCAACTAAGAAACTGAATTTTTAATATCAATTTTAATTAATTTAAATTTTAAAATTCATACTCACTTCAGCTATCTTAAGTATATCTGGAACAACTTGGAAATGTGAACAAACTTTTTCAAATGAAATTTTATTAAAGTTAAATACAGGCTAAGGATTTCTGATAAAAATTTAACATCCAAATTCAGTGTTTTATTTTGTTTTTTTAAAGTAGGCTCCATGCCCAACATGGGACTTGAAGTCACAACCCAAGATTGAGAGTCATGTGTTCTACTGACAGCACCAACCAGGCACCCCCTAATACCTACCAGATTTTGAAGATTAAGTATGAAAAAATAACATAAAGTACCTCATTAATAATTTTTATATTCATTATATATCAAAATAGTATTATGGATAGAGTGGATTAAACAAAATATATTATTAAAATGAGTATCACCCACTTTTTTCATTTTTCTAACATGGTCCTAGAAAAATTTCAATTACACATGTAGTTTCATTATATTTCTATTGAAGAATACTAGTCTAAAACTTCCTACAATTTATTAAAACATACCAAATGGCATTGTGAGAATCAAATAGGTTTTGATGATTTTTTAAGAAGCCATATGAATGAGAAAATAGTAAAAATCTTGTACTACGCAAATGCAAGTTCACTAGGTTTGTGAAACATTGCACTGACATGCAGAAAACAAGAAATGGAATTCTTAAGTTTCTCATAAAAACAATATTTCTCGCGATAGCTCAAATATTATGACCTTCTTTTCTATCTGTGTCTGCCGTCAAAGTTCCTACTCATTGAGGGATGAGCCTCTTCCCAGACCGGTCAAAGGCTTCACTGAGGTGACATGGATCTATTCAAGCCTGGTGACAGAATCCAGAGTCTTCAGAACAAGGGCGTGTGTGCACATGTGTGAGAGAAAGGGAGACAGACAGATGGATAGACAGACAGGGAGGTGTGAGTACATGTTCCTGAAACATTCCTCTTTCATGACTTCGGCCTTAGAGACTGTTTCTTCCACTTCACTGTCTCAAATAAAACACCCACCACATCACAACACACCAGAGGCATTATGCCAACTGAGTGGGCAGTTCAAGGAACTCCCTGGTGCTGTAACTTGGGAAGACAAAGCCAACGAGATAGAGGCATTCTTCCTGGAAGCTACATTTGAAACCACAGTCCTTCTCCTCTAACCTCCTGTGTCTATAGGATTTCATCATTGCTGGAAAATCCAGAGAAATGTGGGTCTTCGAACCCTTCTTTTTCAAGTTGGTAAAAGACACCTCTGCAGAAACCTGTGCACCACTGAGGGAAATTTACTTAGAGCCCTAATGTGTACTTTGTGGGGCTGGTGATGATCAATCCCCAAGTTCATTGCAGATTTGGCTTGTGCTGCATTTTGTTGTATTGTTTTCATAGAAGCTCAGAGAAAGGGAGCTCTGAGAGTTGCTTAATTTCTAAATTTGAAAAACAGGAGCCTCTTGGGTTTACAAAAGGCAGTGAGTAAAAATCAGAAAGCTTGGGTTTAATTAGTAGCATAATTGCTAGTATCACCTAGCCTCTCTGGGACTCTATTGTCCCATCGGCAATCTGGGCAGATGAATCATATTTGAAAAATGAAGGCAGAATTTGTTTTTTGTAGTCGCCACCTTAGCCTTACCTGATGCATTATGGGAATGGATTTTGCAGTGTGAAAAGTATTCCTGCTCATTTTCACGCCCTCTGTAAGTGATGTATTAAGACAGGTTTCTATGTTTTTCTCCAGTGAATTCTAACTTAGAATCACATTTTCTACAGTATGAAATTCCACGCAGTTGCAAATAACAAAATCATAATGTCTGAGGTTCTGAGGGTTCAAAATCAAATTCCCCAACGTGATCGTAGGTAAAGATCAAAAAACTTATGCGTTATATGGAATCCTCTTAAACTATATTTCGATCATAGAGACAAATTTACTCCTTGACCAAATTAGCAATAAAATCCTAAGCTTTGAGTCATAGAGGATTTTTATTTTGTTTTTGTACTAGAGGAAGTGCCACCAGCAATTTGCTGGAGTATTTCAATGAACAAGGACTTTTAAGGTAGTCAACATAGGCAGGGCTAACCATTTTACAAGAAGGCAAGTGGAGCACTGAGCACAAGTGAGGAAGCAGTCTAGGCAACATGAACATCTCCTTTATTTCAGTCACTGCCTGTGTGCTACCTTTCAGAGGGCTCTTGAGGGCCACTGCATTGTTGTTTATGAGACTGAGTTAGAATCTAAGGACGTGGGTCTCATTTCAATGCTGACAATGTGTATAAATTAAAATAGCAGATTCTTTGGTGATGTATTGTACATTGTCAAAAATATTTAGATATTTCCAATCTGCCTTCATTTCTTCAAAAATGATGACATGAGTGTGAATATACTCTCTTAAAAATCTTAAATTGCACTGCAGAATCCATTTGTATGATACATATTAATCTTTTAGACTGAAACATGAGTTGCTATAACTCAGGTCTAGCAGACACTGAAGTATTAATCGACTTCATCTCAAATGTGTTATCCCAAGGCAGCAAATTAGGGGTACCTTCAGACTTTCTCTCCTCCAACACCTTAAATGAATAATAACAGCTCGCAGGCTAGATTCTTGAATGGAATTCTCTCATTTGGATATTGTGTGTGAGCTATATTCTTAAAGTTGTGGGTTTTGCTGGTTGGAGGAAATCTGATCACAGACACAGCAAGTCAAGTAGGTGCATCCCAAGTTAGAATGCCTTAGTTTCTCTGGAAATAGATAGGGATGCAGATGGAGCTGAATATTGGCTCTTCAGCTGAATATACCCTACTTTACCTGACTGGAACTGGTCTTTTGGGGGGATGGGTGGGAGGATATGTTTAAGCAGGATTGATTAGGTTTTCTCAATTCTCCAGAAAACAGGAATTATGAACTACCTTTATTCCATCTTTGGGGCTTTATTCTAATGTTCCTTAAATTTCATCACCTCCCTTCCTAAGTGCATCTTTAGGAAAGGGTAACTGATGTGTTTGGGCTAGATGATTTGAGGCTGAAGTGTTTTAAAAGACGCAATGGTAGACAGCCTCTAGCATCCCCCAGTGATTTGTGCCTCCCAGCGTTCACACTCTGTGTCATCAATCTCCTCCCTTTGAGTATAGGCCAGACCAGAGACTGGTTCCTGAAAAACAGAATACAGTGAAGCGATAGCTTCTTTCTACCCTTTCTTGCTCCCTCACTCTGACGGAAGCCAGTCTCCGTGTCGTGAGCAGCTCTGCAGACAGGCCCATGTGGCAAGGAAATGAAGGAGGCCTCTGGCCAACAGCCAGCAAGCAGCCATCAAATGTTCAAGCCTGCCAAGAGTAACATGAGTGAGTCTGGAAGTGGAGCTTCCGCCAGCTGAGCCTCGAGCTGGCTAATGGCCAGACCTACACCTTGTCTGTCAGCTCCTAGATGCCCTGAGCCAAAGGACCTCCCTAAGCTTGTGCCTGGATTCCTGATCTCCAGAAGCTGTGAGATAATAAATGTGGTTTTAAGCCACCAAAGTTTGGAGTAATTTGTTACACAGCAATAGACAACTTAGGCAACCTACACACTTACCATGATAACATATTAACTTGAATGAGGCTGGGTCTGGGTCTGATTCACCCTTGTCTGATTGGAATGTAGCAGGAGCTCAATCAATGTTTGAGAAGAGAAAAAAAAGAAGAAAAGGAAAAAAGGACAGAGAAAGGGATGAGGATGGGGATAAAAAGTGGTGTCTGTGAAAGGAAGGAAGCTCAGGCTGACAGAAAGCTGAGAATGAACAGCTGACCGCCTGAAGAATAGCTCGTCAGTTGACAGATTTTACCTCCACTTCTAATTAGTTTTATATTTGGTGAACCACTTAACAATTGCTCATAGCAGAGTTCTCCCAGCGGGTCTGTGTTGGAATCATCTGAAGAGTTTCTGTCAACCACGGGAGTGCAGAATGCTAGATTCACTGTCTACGTGCAGGGGGTAGCAGGGCAAGTGTGTTGCTCCCGGCTGAGAGGCCCAGCCTCCCCAGCAGCACCCAGGCAGTCCACAGCCAGGCTGGAGAACACGTAGCCAGGCCTGCTCCCATGGTCTTAGGTGCCTGTGGGGAATCCCTGAGGCAGAAGCTTGCCAGAATGGGGCAGAGGACAGAAAGAGGCCAGCTGGATTCTGGTGGGGCTACAGACTTGCCCTGCCCACTACCCACCAAAGCCTCTCTCCTGTGGGTGGTGGTTGTTTGCTTTTCAGGCTGCTCCCCTGGGGCCTGGGCAGCAAGGAGCAACAAGGGAACATGGAATAGATGTGCTGAATGTGACCCCAAATGCAGAAGACCGAGGTATGGATATTACTGGGAGACTTGGTAAAAAGGAGACAACTGGCAATGGAGCAGGTCGTCCCCGGGTTTAGTCGGGTTCCTGCCACTGAAGTATGAGAGACAGTAGAGAGGTCCAAGCCAGGGTGAGGACTTGGGGCGAACTCTGTGAGGATAATGATATTATGCCATATTCTCTGTAGTGCCTTTCCCTTCTGTTTCCTGCTAGCTCAACCCCCTGCCTCTCCCATGACCATCCCACTTTAGAAGCTGGAGCTACAGTATTTACTGTGACTGTGATACCACAGAACACAGACATTCATCTCCAGAGGAGACGCAGAAAAACTCTGGGCAAGATAAAGCTTTGGAAGAATCTATGATGAGGCATAGCTCATATCCTCCCAGCCTGTGGACAACAACAGTCTCTGAAGAGGGAAGGAAGAGACCTAGACATTGATGTGGGTCGTCCAGAGGAGCCCTCAGGAGAAGTGTTATTGGCAGATACTGAGACAGGATGATGGTGAGTGTGAGGAGAGAAGTGTACTCTCTCTCCCCCACCCCCATCCCCTGGGCCTCTCTGTGGACTTGAGCTAGGGTGGCTGCTATGAAGCCTGGACAGATAAGCCCAAGCCACCTCACAGAGCTCCTCAGTGGCTGGAGACTCTAGGCCCAGCGCATGCTCTCCTTGACACTGTGCCAGTCCCCCAGAACAGGGCACAGTCCCAGAAGAAAAGCAGGAAGAGACCCTAACTTGCCTGAGATTGCTTTGTACACACACACACAGGGATGAGGGACAAAAATCAACAGAATGAAGCACAGTTACAGAGAAGTCAGGAATGTCACAGACCTCACACAGCTTCATTGACAGGGTAACCCTCTCCCCCTAAGAGCCTTCCATTTATTGGGAGGGCAGATCAGAGAATTTATGGAATGAGGGGAGCTTCTGGCCATGACCTGTGCCCCAGGGCCCCTCCACCTTTGAACAGGCTAAAGGAAATTCTCTGTGTGGGCCCAGAAGTTTGTATTGCCCGTGAAATCCTGGATGAGGATTAACAAGGAAAAGGAAACCAGGGGGGAGCCAGTGAACAACAGGACAGTAAGTGCTGGATGACAGATAAGGTGGAATTTAATGAATGACGTCAGGAGGATGCCGAGAGATGGTGGACTGAGCCCAGCACCCCACACAGCGTGACAGAAAGCCTGCATCTGTTCAGGCACACCTCGTCCTCAGAATCCCACACACTCCCGTGACGCAGAGCTTTCCTTTGTTATCCCAGAGCTGTCTGCCTCGCCCTGGCTCTTCTGTGCCAGAGGAGTCTGTTTGCGTTGTCCGCTCACCTTTCCCCACTCACGCAGCACAAGATGGCTCATTGTTGCCAACCAGGAGAGGAACGACAGCGTTGTTGTGTCTGCTCTGAGATTTCTTGAGAAACCTCAAAGAGGTTTCTTAGGAGAGCTTCCAGATTAGTTCAGGTTTTTCATTTCCTTTCCATGCTACATGATTTAAAAACTAAGTTGTTCCCCGACCCGACCACCTATCCATCCGTGAGATTCCACTCCTTCGCTGAGTGCCTGCTTTGGCACCCCATGCGTGTCGCTCACAGAACCTTTAACACAGTGTTCCAACTGCGGAGTCCCCTGTTCTGCTCCCCTCCACTGGGGGAGGGCAGGGGCTGCTTCTGTCAACACCTCCCGCCCTCCCCTGACCTAATGCCAAGGACAGAGCAGGGATGAGGAATTCTCTAATTCAGCTAGGTCTTACCGAACACTGCAGTAGAATTTGTGGTTTAGGCTTTCTGGCACTACACACATCACGTTTTCCTGGAGAACCTTTGTGGGCTTATGTCTTCACTTCTGAAATGCTTTGTTTTTTATTCTTTGCTCATCGTCAGGAGGCAATAGCTATGAAGAAATTTAGAATTCCAGGTCTTTTTTTTTTTCCCCACTCAATCTCCAAGTAAAATGCTATATAAACAAAAACCTAAATGTATTGAGAACAATCCTTCCCCTGGAAGAATTTTTCCCTGTGAAGAAAGTCATCTTTCTTAACTGATCTGTTTGATGAATTCACCTTTTTATCTCATTTATTTAAAATGAAAAACAAACAAACTTGCATTCCTGTGCACTAAGAAGGAACCAAAGTTTAATTATGCTGACATGGGCGCTGACTACTAAGGCCTTTTAGAACAAAGTGATGGCAGACACAGGTAACATTAACATACAAATAACAAGATAAGATCCAAATGTTGGCCCACGTCAACTAGAACATTTAGCTCTGCGTTTTCAAAATAGTTTGAAAAAGATAAACAAAATCGCAAGGGATCTCTGCCTTAATGAGCTCAGAAATTGTTTAGCTGACTGCAGTAGGGCTTAGTCTATGTAGGAAATAACAGGGAGACAATGAAATTGTAGAGAAGAGGAAAGAACTCAGTAGGAACTAAAAATTAAGGAAGGAAAGAAGCAGCTGGAGAACGCAGAGCACGCAGAGAACGTAGAGGGTCACCAACTCCCTCAACGCCACTGATTATCTTTTCCTCTTTAGAAATTACTTGTGAAACCAATAGCTGTTTGAACAGGAGACTTCACTCTGACCTCTTGTGTGGTTTCAGTGGGGACTGCTCGTGGGTTGGTGGTGGTCCATACAGCGCTGGACTAGAGACAGCAAAGGTAGCTTCTGTTGCGGTCCCACCGTGGGCTACAACAGGACATAAGTGTACCGCTTCAGGATTTCTCTGCTTTTGTTTTTCTTCCACTTGCCCCCGGATAATCTCGCCATGACAGATTTGTACCTCTAGAACGGATTACCATTTCCATTAATCAATGTAGTCTAATGAAATGTTTAAGAGTTCAGGAGCTGTATAACCAAGCACAGGGAACTCGACCTCCCTGTGCCTCAATTGCCTCATCTGTGAATGGGGAAAATAGCAGCTACCTCATAGGGTCATTGGGTCCTTCTGAGTAGACATGGAGAGCTCAAGACAACATCTGACATACAGTGTGCTCAATACATGGAGACGGTCATCATCGCCACCATCTTCGCCATGCTGTCATCAAAATCACCACCATCATCATCCTTGTCACCTTACCTACCGTGTGCAAAGGCTGGGGCAGCAAACTCAAATGCCGACTCCCCGGGGCCCAGGAGGAAACAAAACTGAGAAAATCAGCCAGGTATGCAATAGGGAGTAGAGATGACTGTGGCTATTTACAGAACACATGCTTATCCAGTATAGATAATATAATTAAAATATTTAAAATCCCTCTGCTTGCCAAAATAAAATGGATCTTAAGTCTGGATGCTAGCATATTCCCCTCCTGAGATAGAATCAAGGAGACCCTCTACAACATCTTTATGGTAAACCCCGGGATGAGTTCCTGGTATGGTTTTTCACAAAGTGCTTCAGTGTAGGCTGATAGCGTCATCTAGTAAAAGTCATTCTGCTTTAGTCCAGAGGATAGCTTTGGAGGCTAGCTTTGGGGCATAGAAAGACTCTCCATAAATACTAATTTTTAAGCTGAGCTTTGGAAGTGGAGAGACTCATCACAGATGAATACCATAAAAGGAAGCTCCTTTACCTTCACTCAGTGGAGGCCCCAATCTAATTACATGCCTTGTAGGGAATCACATCCATTCCCGTGGATTCCATCATAATATTGAATTTATGTTGATGCCTCCCGAAGACATTTCATCAAATCAGAGCCCTCTTCTGAGCTTCAGACACAAGTGTATTGTTTCCCCACAGTTCCACTCGTCAGGCAGATTTCTCCACCTCAGATGTCCAAAAGGTAACTCTTAATCTTTTTCCCTTAAAACCTGTTCCTCAGCTCAGGAAGTGACACCATCATCCTCGTAGCTACTCAGACCAGAAAGCAGGGAAGACTATGTCATGGCCAACTGGCCCGCAGGAAATGTCATTCCATCTCTGGAGTCTCAGTTCTAGCAGCCGCCCTGAACCTCTGCTGTCGCCACCCTCATCTACTCACTCGTATCTCTTGCCTGGACTGCAGCAATAGTCCCTCGTCTGGTCTGCTTCTCCTCCTGCGCCCCTCCAAGCCATTCTCCCAAGCGAACTGCTTCCTCCACTCGTGACCTTTGCATGTACCGTTTCTACTCTCTGGATGTTCTTCTGCCCACTCTTGCCATCTCATTTTTAGACCTCAGTTTAAATGTCACAGCTTCAAAAAGCCCACCCTGAGCACCCTAGCTTAAAATAAGTCTCCTCCTGTGACTTTTTCTCTCTGCTCCTTATGTTTTGTTTTCTGTCATAGTTCTTACTACTCTTTACATTCTTTTATTAATGTATTTGTTTTTGCTTCCTTATACCTCGAGAACAGGGGCCCTGTGTACACTTTTCTGTCTCTCCAGAGCCTAGAAAAATGTCTGTCTCTTTGGTAAATAGATGGTCCTGATATATTTCCTGAATAGAAAAAGAGAGAGAGAGAGAGGAGGAGGATGAGGAAGAAGAAGAGAATGAGGAGGAGGAGGAGGAGGAAAAAGAGGAGGAAGAATGGACCAGAATCCCCCCCAATTCCTCTCTTTCTGGTTTCACTGACACTGCCCTGTTGGATCCATATAGTACACATTGAGAATTTCCCCTGGAAATCTCACAGAAGCACCATGTTAGTTTAAAGTATATGAAGATAGAGGAATTGTGAAACAATTTAAAGGTCAAAACTTTGGAGAACTAGAAATTAATATTTGAAGGAAAAATATCACTCAGAAATGATGGACAAGCTCTCTAAATTACTTGTTACATGAATCTGTGAAAGAACTTGAGGGCTTGAAATTTCCAGATTTCTTAAGTGCTGTTTTGACTGATCTTTCCACAGACAATAAAATGCTATAGCGGATACACTTCTGTACATAACATGCTGTGGATGAGTTTCTTATATGAAACCAAACTAACCCAATTCTACTGGTTCTCCAACTCTCCCCAATGAAATCGGGACCTTGGCCTGACAAATCTACGAGAGACCAAGGCATCTCTGAGTGTTAGGAGCCTGCAAAGACTTGACCTCCTCCAACAGCAAGCAGTGATGTCCTATCCCCCCCTTGGGGGCTGATTCACAGGGGTTAAAAGCCCCATTCTGACTGAGATAGATGGTGCTAATGGTCTCATTTGTCCTGGGATTATTTCAGTCCTGTTTTTCTTGTTGCCCTTGCTTTCTTTGTCACATTTCATATACTGGATCACACCTTTTGCCTAGTCCTTGAGGCTAAATGTCTTTTGTCTTCTAGACTTATTAGAATTTGTGTCACCTTTTTTTTTTTAATCTGACCAATAAAACATAATAAATATTTCCTGCCTCAGGATTTTTCCCAGGATCTTTACAGATTTATGCCACATAGACTTGGAATACCTTATAAGAAATGTACTCAGAAGAGTAAATAATGTCATCTTGGTCCTTTCTTCTCTCTCATATCTCAGTAGGAGAGCTGGTTTTATTCTATCACTCTGATCATTCTACTCATAAATTTTAAGACCGTGGCAGGCTAACAAAACAGAACCAGGTGGTAAGAAGTCTGAAAATTCATCTGATGAATTAATGTAAAGGCTATAATAGGGGAAAAAATGTCTCCATAACATGAATCAACTTCTGCCTTTTTCTTAGATGCCTCTACATTTGACTTCTTCATTTTTGATGATTGTCAGAGCTAGCATTAGATAATCACTTAGTGTGATTAAGATAATTTACATATGTTATTTCATTTAATTCTCATACCAACCCCGGCGCTTAGCATACCTGTTTTTTTAAGAGGGAAAAAAAATGGTGCTAAGATTTCTTCCAATTATAAAGCATTTAAGAGACTATGTCATGACTGGAACTTAAATCTTGGCTGACTACAAATGCCGTGCTTTTTCCACTGGGCACGACTCTCCTTGGTGAAGTGTCGCTGTTCCTTACTTGGGAGAGATGATATGATGCTCCCGCTAATTTATTTCTTCACAGACTCTAACGTGACCATAGCTTTTCATGGAGCACGTATATATCAGCACTTTGTATACTATAAATTACATGATTTCCTCTAAGCTTCTCTCCTACCAGTTCAAAAATAACAAAATGTAGAGGTTAAACTATAGCTGATTTGCTTTATTTCCCTTCAGGTGTTGACTAGAAGAGCTCTTTGCTAATAACTACTCCAGACCATATCATTAACCATATGAACATGGGAAAGGTATGTATCGGACCATAACAGAGGCAAATACATCGCTTTTGTTCCAGGGAGAGTGAGTACTTAATGTCCATTTAACTGAAGTGTGCGCTCCCCCATTTGTTCCTTGAGAACAATGAGATGGCTGTAAAAATCCAGCTTAGCAAAACTGGATTTAATTCAGTTAGCCCTGTGGTGAGATGCCGCCCAGCAGTCCAGCACCAGACAGCCTCATTGATTTATTTTCCTCTCCTTTCTTTCTCTGTCATTTCCATTTTCCTTCATTTCTTTCATACACAGCCTAAAGTTGGTAATTACTCTTCTGTTTCTTGTTCAAATGAGGATGGGTAGAGAATATTTCAACACTGACCTTCCCAGTTAGTCGGTAAGGAATCCTTGCCTCAAGCTCCCTCAAGCACCCCTCCAGGTGCCCCAACGGCCACATCCCAGCAATTACCCTCCCCCTCTCCCTGTCCCCACTATCCAGCAACTAAATGGCTACAACCCTGCTCCAGCACCAGGACCAACTTATCAGCCCTACTTCTCTTAGCGTTTGTTGCAGCAAAATGTAATAACGTAAATGACTTTTCACGTTTCTTTTACCTTGGGCCCAGGGATCTCAAATGGAATATTCTCAAACTGAATTTTTTTGTTTGTTTGTTTCGTAGGCCATAATGGGTTCCCAAATCCATAAATCTGTTTTGAATTCAAGTGCCATAATCTCAAATTCCAGAGCTCTTGAATCTCTGTGAACTTCAATTTTTTTTTTCATGTTAACACAACATGCGATCAAAGATAGGGTATTTCTTTATTTTCAATTATATAATAAACTTTGAGAATTAGGGATCATCATAAAAACAAGTAACGCAATTAAAACTGAACTTTAAAACTGGTACATTCATTTTTAAAACCTTGATCCATTTCTTTCTCCCCAAAGCAAACATTATTAATGGAGTAATTCATTTTTCCCCTTTGTCACCAGGAAAAGAAGAATCACAGCACCTTCAGAATCTGATTCCCTGCCTGCTGAGCACAGCATACAATTAAAGTGCAAATAAATAAAACAAATTATACCATGTATTTGTTTATACTTCTCACTCTGGAAAGATTTTAGGCAGCCTGCTGTTTATTATAGGGCAGAATGGGTAGGAACAATGTGATTTTAGTTTGTTCAGCCTGTTTAGAATGTGAACTCTGGGAAAAAGAGGCCATACTTTTGGGGTGCCATCTATGGGTGCACCAAAATTAAATTTTCCATTTTCACCATGAAGAACAGGGAGTATTTGGGTTGATCAGTAAAATAAGGTGGAAGAAGCAAAAATTCATATCAAAGAAATCTTTTGGTTTACCATTCAGTAGTAGTGTGAACTCGTCAGCTTTATTTATCCTTCAATGACCTATGGGCACCCCTATCCCCCATTAATGGACACTGTATGTTTCTGTTTCTTTCTTGAACAGGTATTAGGCATATCATGTTGGATTCGGATGTGACTGTCCCTTTGACTCTATGGGATATGGAACACCCTTCTGGTGGAAGGTGAGGCCTTTGAAGAAACAGAGACATTATTACCACTTATCAGAGAAAGAGGACAAGTTTCAGAACCTGGACAACTAACCTTGCACAGGAAGGAGCAGGGAAGTCTCTGTTTCTAGACCTTACCATCTGGTTCTAGAACGAGCAGTGAGCAGAGGGCTAGACCTGGACACAGACCTTATGGGTTCTGAGAGCACAAATTTACTACCTGATCCTGTTTAGCTGTATGCTATTCTCTCCAATTAATCTTTTTTTTTTTTAATCTCTTAGCTAGTGTTTTACAAAGTGTAGTCTTTGGTCAGACCAGACTCATCCTGGATATAGTAAAACAGGGTCTTTGGGCTTGGGACCTAGTTATCAGATATTAAATGGGCCTTCCAATTTGAGATTCACTGCCCCAGTCTATGGTAAAGCCTTATTTTAATATTCCCATCTTTTCAGCTATGCCTCTGAGCAGATCACAAGTACACTCATGTTACACGTGTGACGAGAATTTTAAGAAGAAACACCCAACACCTAAGACCTGTGGGCAAGGGGTTGATGGCCAATGGCAGCTAGTGGTAGTTTCCAGAAGGAGAAAGTTGCTCTTGGCAGGGAAGGACAGAACCAGAGCAAGGAGGAATCTGGGCTGGGAAGTAGAGCAGTCCTTATCTTCCAGGTAGACTGCCCTCTTTCTAACCTGAGAGGAGTTTGATTTCATTAAGGGAAGTGGTCCTTGTCTTTACAATCCTGTATTTTTGTGGTTCACATAAAGGACTCCTTTAAAAAGTTAACCAGGGAGAAATAAAGTCAAGAGGAAATGATACAGATTTTTCTAAGAAAAAGCAGCTTTGGGTGTCTCTGGCCAAGACAAGCTCCACTGAAAGCAACAAAAAGGGAAAAGGAGCTGTGTGTTCCAAAGAGAGTGTTTCTCCAGGCCATTCTAGAAGAGGACCCGATTGCCTATCAAAGAAGATCACGTGGATTCAAGCCGCTGAGATGCTAGTGAATTACTGAATAGGAAAGTGATCATGTAGCATCTCAGCCAGGGCATTAACTCTTAGAAACATGGAGAGGAAGCCAAACATGCCGAAGCAGATCTCCACTCTCCAGTAAGAGGAGGCAGGATACGTTTTTCCACTCACAAGTTCCTAGTTTTCTTTGACTTCTTAGTGTTTCTTGACTTTCATATTTCAGTAAATTAGCCTTTACAGTGTCACTCCAAATAAGTAGCTTTTTTGTACAGTCACTGGTGTCTGTTCCCTGGGCTTATTAAAGTCTCCAATCCTAACTACGGTGGAGCCCAAACCACAGTGCTTTTGATGTCCTCAGAATCAGCTTCTTAGTCAGCCAAGGAGGCCAAAAAGGGAAGGTCTCAACCGGAGTATGAACCCACCGGGAACTTGCCAAAAAGCTCAGTCCTCTCCTGTCGGCTAAGGACATGGAAAGGGCCCTGACCCAGGAGGTCAATTCGCTGAAAGAAGCTTCTCTGTAGCTAGGGAGACTTGGCGACACCTTCTCTTCTTCTGATTCCAGGTCTCTGAGGAATCTTCGAGGCATCATCATGAACTCCCACGTGGCTGCTTGCCCACTTACAGGGTCACATGGGGGATCTCTGACCAGAAGCTGATCTGTTCTAAGGCCTAGGCAGCATCCGCATCATCTGAAAGCTTGTTAGGAATGCAGAATCTGAGGCCCCTCCGCAGGCCAACTGAATTTTACCCAGAATCTTCAAGCTTAAGGATTAAATCTTAATCCTTAAATTTAAGAAAGACAAAGCTGTGGCAGCTAGAGAGCTCCCTATTTGGAGCCCATTTTATGCAGGAAGATCTAAGTTCACAGCCTGGCAGGCAGACCCTGAATGATAAGGTGGGGGGAGGGAGGCAGACACCATTCTTCCTAACAGTCAGAGTCTGTGAAGCTTATGCTGCTTTTCTTCCTTCGTGTGTATGTAAGTGGCACTGACTCTAACAATTAATGATGTATCTTTAGGAGAAGTAGCTCTCAGCTATGATATCAGGAGAAATCCTCCTTGTGCTTCTGACAGTGGGGAGAGCCTCTGGAAGAGAACCAAACCTGGACACCATCCCCAAAACCCACATGACTCCCGAAGTACCCCAGGAGGGTCGGCCCATCCCAGGGTTACTCAGCCCTGACTGTTCATCCGAAACACTTGGGAGCACTCAAAAACACCAATACCCAGCCCCACCTCAGACCAGTTACATGGGAATTTCTGGGTATGAGGCCTTGTGCAGAGGTATTCTTAAAAATTCTTGGGTATGCAAGGCAGGCTAACTCAGAATTAAGAAATGAATAGTGTGTCAGAGAGTGTGTGAGAAAGTGGCATTTCCATGTGTTCCTCAAGCAACCCCAGGAGATGTAGGTCCACAGTGTAGGGACAGGAGAAGCTAGGGAGACTTAGGGACAGGGGAGGACAGCTAGACACTGGGCTTTATCATCAAGGAGACCCCATTCAAAGACCTGAATGTCTTTGGGTGCTTTCCCTTCAATTAAGAGGATAAGCAATGCAGTTTCCAGTCATCAACTTTTCCAACTGAACATTTTCATTCTTTTTAGGTCTCTCCAAACCTGGAATGGTCTACCTTTAATACCACCTGTGGTTTTGGCAGTATAGAGGGGAGAAAGAAAGAAAGAAAGAAAGAAAGAAAGAAAGAAAGAAAGAAAGAAAGATAGATGGATGCAAAATGAAGTTTGGCTTCCCTCACATTCGCACTTTCTTTGAAATTCATGTGTTTGTTGAAAATAGCGTATCATCGGGGGACCTTGGCCAGGCATGCCTGGCGGTGTCTCTGGCTCCACTGGGAACAACGGGGTGGGGGGGGGGGCGTCAAGGAACCGATGCCAGGGATGGCTGCGATGTGGGTGTGGGATAAACCTTTCCCAGCATACACTAGATAGTGTTTGTCAAGTTGATGGCTGTGACCCATTAGTTTGTCATGAAATCTATTTTAAAGGTCACATCCAGTCTTTTTAAGCAGGATAAAATGGCATGGAATAGAATAGAAACTATCAGAGCTCACAACCCATCCCATATTAAGGATAATGATTTTTTTTTTAAACTTTGATGTATAGTGTGCAAGTATCTGTGTATGTGCACTGGCTTACAATGGAAAATGTACCTCTTTCTATGGTTATGGTCAAAGCATTTGAGGACCACTGAATTGCATTTCTTAGCTGCCAAATAAAAAATAAATTTTCCTGGACACAGTCTGTGGGTACAGCGGTCTGTGGTGCTGTGGGACTGGCCATCGGGAAGATAAGCCGCAATCTCAGCCTGACAGAGCTCAGATGTGGGAACAGGCAGAGGAGGGGCAGAAGTTCTAACAGCAGGTGCACGGATGTTCAGGGGCCTGAGGCAGGCCTGAACCATGGACTCAGACAACAGCACTGTGGTTAAGATGGTGAGAACTGAGCTTCCATTTTCTTGGTAGTCACCCCAAATTTAGACACAATCTGACGGGCTTATGTGTCAAAAGAACTTGACCCATGGTCTAGAACTGGTTTTTAGAAGTTTCCTTTGTTGAGAGTTGACAACTTTCTACCAGTTTTCAACCCCACGAATTAGCCACAAACGCAGGTATGCTACTTCAAGGGAAACCAGTATTACTATCTACTACAGGTGTATATCTGTAAGTTGTCACTTTACATTACAAAAGACATTTTTGTATTTCTGAAAAGTCATCGAGTTTATGAGTGCATTTCCTGTAATTAAATTTACCGTAAACAGAGGCTTCAATGTAGAAATATGCCACATTTTTCAGACTGGCGTACTGCATTAAGGGAGGAGTGTCTCTTTTCATTAATGATTATTTGATAAAACCAAGATTTCTCTAGTTATTCACCTTAATTTGGGGGGTGGGGAGTGTGGACTCAGGGGAGTCCAATTCTCCCAGTAAGAAACAACAATAACGGAAGTCGAATATCCAGTTATCATATACGCGAACGATACAACGGCCATCTTGGCAGCAGAGCTAGCCAATGAAGAAACAGCAATAAAGGTCTGGGCAGACACCTAACTGATAAAACCCATTTCCTCTCCTCATCCTCGCTGACTTGGCCCGTCAGGTGAGATGGTCACAGGCCCGTTGAAGGTGCAGGTGGTGGTTCTGCCCACAAGGTCTCTGAATTGGCTGCTTATCTCTGAGAGCCTTGTCTGAGGAGACAGGGAGGACATGCCAGCTGGAAATGAGAAGGAGCTGCCTGGAACTCTCAGAAAAGGATCTTCCTGAAAGGGACGGTGGGGGAGGGTTGTGAGCCCCCAAACTCTGAGAGAGGGGTCATGTGGTTAACAGAATGGTTTCTCCCCTTTCAGAAGGAATCCTGAATCACTGCTAAGAATGTCAGGGATTTTAATTTTGTCGCTTATCCAGAAGCCAGTTCCCAATGGATTTTTCCTTTCACTTGAACTGGATGCTAGTCAAGATGGACTTTTCCACTGGGCTGTGATGAAGGATACTGTGGAGCCGCACTTACATCTGGGCAACACAATGTGTAGGTTTCTTAGGTGAACCCCTCAGAAATGCCTCTGCTGCTAATATTGAGAAAGAATGCATCCCTTAATTTCCCTTTGATACAAACAATGATAACATACGTCACTCTACCTTCAGAAATTGTGTTTCCATCTATAATCATATTTGATGTTTATGACAACTTACAGAGAGAAACTGAACAGATAGTGTCATCTACTATTACAGATGAGAGAACAGAGACAGAGAACCTTGATAGGAGTCTCCCTCATGTCACCAGGTAGCAAAAAAGACTAAATGAATCCGATTATACTGTCTTCCAGCAATGCCTCTTTCTAGGACCCCACACAAAGGGAGGAGAAGCAGTGATGATGCCAGGAGTGGGGCTCATTATCCCTGGTGGGCTGTGAGCTCCCCACCCTGCACCAGGGGTGCAAAGGCAGGAGAAGGCACCCACACTGGGGCAAGTCTGCCACCGTCACTGGGACACTCAGTAGCCCATGTCCCACCACTGCCTGGGTAAATGATCAGCCCAGGACAGACACAGGTGCTATTGTAACTAAAAGAGACAGGCCTTTGGGCTGCCTTGAAGTAAGCAGAATCGTGGGCAGAGACCACAATACCACAAACACTGAGCCACAGATGGGAAGTTCAAATAATGGCTCTGCCACTTATTACCCAGGAGGCTTTGGGCACTCACTCCACCTCTCTGAGCCTCAACTTTTCTTCTGTAAAATGGGATAGTCCACATTCAGGGTCACTGTAAAAATCAGAAATTTGCACATAGCAGGCACTTAAATAATTGGGGGAGGAGGGAAGGTTTTTACTATTATCTTAGGCCCCCACCGGGGCATACTACACTTGAAGTAGACCCTGTTACCACACACTTTATTATGAAAAGTAAATTAAACAGCCCTTATGTTCCTAATGTCAAAAAAGAATGGTTATGGAATAAAATATTATGAAGTATTTGATCAAATACAGATGCCATGCCTATACTTGGGCTATAATACTGAGACCCACATTCTTGCTTTCTTGGGCAAAAATTCACGATCATTTAGTGTAAACCAGACCCCTGGATCGTTCATGTCCTTGATCCAGGCCACGTTCCTGCCTGCCCTTACATCCTTCGGCATGTCCCTGTAGGGAATAATTTCCCTCTTCTGGGAATTTCCATATGTTCTGACTAAATCTTCTTAAAAGCATGGTCAGAAGTGTCGATGGGGTCTTAGGAGTGTTGAGGTGACCTAGGAGGGCCTGATCCTGCCCTGTGGCATACTGCCCATCTCCATGACTCCGTGAGATGCCAAGGGAGATACAAGCAACATACAAGGATGGACTAACATAGCAATGAGCACGATGCCGCCCACACTACTTCAGGCTGTGGGTCCACTGCAAGTCCCAAAGCACAATCATGGAGACTGGCAGCTGGGACATAGATGAAGAGAAAGATGTAGAAGGTTTGTTTCCTCCACCTTAAGCTTAAACCTGAAATGTGTCACACTCTAGGAAGCTTAATAACATGAAAGGAGTAGAGATGCCAACAAAAGTAACATTACTGGCTTCCAAGTGAAAGTGGGCCATCATTTATCAAACTAAAAGGAACTAAAGAGAGTTCCGTGCCCGCACGCAAAACCTTTGAACATACAGTGATCCTGCCCACTAGCAAACCCACAGAACTGACCCAAATCGTGTGTCCTGGAACTTGACCAATCAGCTTTGTGACTCCCTCCCTGGGCAGCAGGCAGTGAGGGGAGGGGTGCTCAGAGACAGACCTTCCAAACTCTCTGGAGGCCAGCAGCACACCAGTATGTGTCACCCAGTGACGTGCACCATCATTGCTGTTACAAACACTATCCTCCCAACCAGATTATAAACTTCCTGAGGATTGGATCTGCTGTTAGGTCATACCACACAGTGTTTCAGACAGGGAGATAGACCACACTTTGATCCCAGGGCCGTGAGGTCATGACCTGAGCTGAAATCAAGACTTTGACACTCAACCAACTGAGCCACCCAGGCGCCCCAAGTCAAACCATTATTACGGGCTCTCTGACTCCAGTAAGAAATGCTCTAGTGTCTCCCTGCGAACTGCTCTAAAGCCACCAACCCTTACTTTTCAAAACAGCAGCTTCCTCTCCCCACAGCCTCCAATTAGAGTGCCCCCAGTTGATGATTTATTCCCAACTTATCTCATGCATATAGAATGAAACTTTATCTCTAGAGGAGGAGTTTTGGCTTCTTATGGCAGAAGTAGACAATTTGAGGGCACCTGGGTGTCTCTGTCAGTTAAGTGTCTGCCTTCAGCTCAAGTCATGATCCTGGGATCGAGTCCCACGTCAGTGTCCTTGGTTAGTGGGGAATCGGCTTCTCCCTCTGCCCCTTGCCCTGCTTGTGCTCTCTCTTTCTCTCTTACTCTCTCTCATGTAAATAAATAAAATCATAAAAAAGAAGAAGTAGACAATTTGAATAATTTCTGTACCTCTAAATGCCAGGTGACTTATGTTAGATTTAGTAAATTTGGTGGCAAAAACCAAAAAAAAGGAGGTCAGACACTGATTTTTACTGCAGTAGCATTCTTGCTGGCTCCTGTGCCCAGTCCTGATAGTACCAGAGGCCATAAACCCTCACTCTATTTTTCTCTGCATGTATCACAAACCTTTTAGTTTTGAAATTGTGGCCCTTGAATATCATCACATGAATCTTGCTTATAGGCCTTGGTACTCTAGGTGTATGAACTTATTCTTGTTTTTCATCACTATAAACATCAACAACCAAACTTCCTTAATCCTTGCCATCCCAAACGGGTAAAATCCAAGGATCATCAGAGTTATAAGAGTTAAATTATCTTCAAGTTGCTGATCAGAATTTTAATCTGTAGATGAGCTTAAAAGAATTTTGGTCCTTTCTCCCCATCAATTATGAAACTAGTTCAGTAACAGCCTTCAGCACTACGGTTAGCAGTATTGTTGATCTTAAATATACTCTTGATAACAAAAATTAGACAAAGAGTCATAGTTCCTTGAATGCCTACAGAATGGTGCAGCCACTGTGAAAGTCAGTATGAAGGTTCCTGAAGGATTTAAAAATAGAACTACCATATGATCCACTAATTCCACTACTGGGTATTTACGCAAAGAAAACAAAAACACTAATTCAAGAAGATAT